GATTAAATGGACCGGGTTTGAAATCATTCTTGAATGCGAAACGGGTCATGATCGGTATGATATACGATACGTATGACGAGGTCACTCCGAGGGTAAAGATCGCATTGATAGCTTGTGTACTCGCGAACGCCAGAAGACCCATCGCAAGAGCAAGAAAAGCATCGAGCCAGACGGTATTGACTGGCGTTGTTGTGTAGCTATTGATTCGGTAAAAGTATCGGGAGAACGGTAGACCACCATCACGAGCGAATGCGAACGTCTGGCGGGAACCGACAAGCAGACAGCTCGATCCCATCATATATCTGTTGATCTTTTAGAGCAGTACGAGGAGATTATGTCAGGCGAACACACTGTGCCACGATGACGAGAGACCAGAGGGCTAACGCTCCTTTTTGCCCAAAAGAGTTGTAAAATATCTGCGCCATAGGTTGACCAATCGGACTTTCCAAGATGCCTTCGATGTCACTACCCATGCAAAATGCAAGGGAGACATTGATGCCTGGAAGCTGTTAGATTCGTAACTATTTGGCAACGTGACACGCACCCCAGCCAAGAGCTGCAGATATCGCAATAGAGCCGACCTGCTTGCATTAGTCTTGTAGCTACAGTATTTATAGTTTCGCTCACAATGGCCCATGGAATGGCGGTAGTAGCATTGGATGCCTCCTCACTCATGTGTACGCTTGAATCATAACCACCTGTTGCACTGTCAAATAAAATGCGAGCGACAAAGGATAGGCCAAACCTATCGTCCAAAGAGGCGCCAATAAACTCAATATGAACGCAAATCCAGATGGCCAGCCGTTAACTGACAACGATTATGAGATAAGATGACAATAGTAGATGTTACATACAGTTGGTAAAGTCCCCGAGTGCATAGCTAGCGCTGTTTCTGAATTCTGATGGCGTTGCGATTGGAAGCGCGATGATGACCACAAAGCAGAGGCTGCCTCGGACAGTGAACTTGAAGGAACTAGGATATAGCGCAAATTCAACACCTACCACACGTTCAGAAGGATGTATAGTCTTTGAAGTCTTGCCAAGATTTGCGTCCCGAGGCTCACGAGGACAGCATGGGACAACACCAACGCTGCAAATATACCACTGCGACGGATCAAAGAAACTGGCACTCAGACAAGACATAAAGAACTCACTAGATCTGCGCATTGCTTGTCACATATACTTGATTGGATGCGATGCTAACTGCCGCTGTGATTTGGATCGCGCATGCCCAATCCACTGAGGCTAGTTTTGTAATTCAATCAACATTTTTTCATGGCACATCGAGTTCCTCACCAAGTCCTGCGATAGACGTGATCGTATTTGCATCTGCATAATACCTTGTGTCAGCGATACGAATTTGGAAGGAAAGATCGCACTTACACCCAACTATCCAAGAGAGAAAATTCCGGCAACGAGGGGAAGCAAGCGAATGGGTCCAGTAATAAAGCTAGATGTTTATGAGAGGTCGGGTCTATATCGGCGATAGGATAAAGGACATACTCCACCTGAGGTTGGTGCTGCAGACGCAAGTTCCGCCATGGCCAGCCCAATACACATGATAAAGGCGCTGGCAAACACCCACTGTATAACGGAATGAGGACGGCATCCGAGACTCTTGTTATGTAAAGCCTTACACCCCAAACCATCGCAAGAGGACCACCATTGGGCATGACATTGAAGAGTACCGACCTGAAGAATGGTATATCAGTGAACAATTCGTCTCAGTAGAATCACACATCATACGAAATGGATGGAAGGAGCCCCACGATGCTGAACGCAACACCAAAGACCTGTGCAAGAACGTTGTCAAGGGTGTCCAACGCTCTGATAAGGACCCACCTCTAGTGGAGTAAACTGCCTCTGGAACTCCTGCTTGTATCCTAAGCCGGCAAGAATTGCTTCATCTCCTGTGTGTCCCGAGTGCGGATCCGAACTTGTGGAAGCCATTAGGACTGGCGAGAACACTCGAATCAGCGACAAAGTGCAATTGTCGAACTGAACATAGATAATAGATCTGATTTTATATGACAACGGGGAGATAAGTACAAATACAAAGTTCCAGAAACGGACATTACTTATATGTAGCTCAAAATTATTGAGTACGTATCAGACCTCAACGAGGGTACGAGCTCATATGGGAGCTGGTGGCAGAGCCTTTGAGGCCCGGCGAGCGTATAGATAAAGCGTGAGAGGCAAGTGAGCGTGCAAAGATCATGTCAACACAGAGTTCCTGGATTGACATGCCATCATACTAGTGATTGTGCAGGAACAGAGGAAGGGCTTGAACCCGCCCATTTGGGAACTTGATGGTTCCAGTATTTAAATTTTAGTATGCTTCTTTCATTCAAGTCGTGTGTACTCGGACTCACCTTATATGGCGAGTGATCACTATTAACGAATAGTGGTCATGTAGACCATGTGGTGCACGGGTCCGGCTTCTTCATCTCAGATGTACTTCTTTCTTCCGTAGAATGTGTCTTACTAGTGAGGGTCGCGTAGGACCTGAGGTATTGCTACAGTATAATGAGCTGTTGCGCATAGTCTGAGTTAGTTCGCGTGACATGCAACTTGAAGGACTCTCGCACCGATAACACTCTGACAACTCGAACAGCTGAGGTGACCTGCAAAACTGAGTTTGAAACGAAGTCAATATATTTTTAACCAACGATACATGACAAAATTATGGATGTCATCCGACTTGCAAGTGGCAATCCGTCTACGGAAAAATTGCTCAGCCAGGGATTCTAAATAGCCTTAAGTCCCCCAGGCCCCAGAACTTATCGCGACGGAAGATCAGCTGATTCAATAATTCTCACCATCAACATCCCTGGTTGTTCTATAGACAATTCTTTGGTGGAAGCAACAGCACCATGTAAGCATCCTATTGGAGTTCGTATGATATTAACGCACCGGTGAAACTTCTAAGGAATAGATCTAATGCGGTTTCTATCATACTTGGATATTATGTGTGAGGAACAATACCCTTTGTATTCCTATCGTATACTGACATGACAACTCATCATGATGACATGATCGAATCGTTCTAGCTGATAAGGCCACTTCAACTGCCCATCCATTCACTCAGTAGCGCATCCTTCTCAAATGCGGCTAGACAATTCATCCCATGTACAATCATACTCCGTAGGTGCCAGCAGGGTGCATCGATGATTCATAACCACGTTCTGTCGGAAGGTTTCCTCATGCGGCAGACCTAATCCAACAGCCCCAGTATATGATCTCCTGATATGCCCCAAGATCGCGCTTACGCACCTTCACCAGGCCCACGATGATACCCACCCTCTTTACACCCATCCAAGTGGGCCACTTGAGAGTCAGCCATCGTATCGTCCTCGCTCCCCTCACTCGGTTTCGCACTTACCCTACCCATGTCCCCGGGCCCTATGCAGCCACCTACTACGCACAACGTGCATCCGTCCCGGGGACACTCCTCGTCTCTGAAGCGACCATCGTCTCCCAGGCTGCTGGTGGGAGGGACTTTATCCCAGGGATATATACACACGAACAGGTAGAAGGATGGAAAAGGGTCGCCGATGCTGTACACGAGAAGGGTAGCTTTATATTTTGCCAACTGTGGGCACACGGGAGAGCTGCATTTCCAGATGTTCTCGCCAAGGAGAATAACTCCCCGCTTGTATCTGCCTCTCCTATTCCACTTTCCATCCGTCCTACTGCGGTCCCGCACGCACTCACAGAACCAGAGATAAAATCATACATCGCCAGCTTCGCCACTGGTGCCAGGAATGCCATCGCAGCAGGCTTCGATGGCGTCGAAATCCATGGTGCAAACGGATACCTCGTGGACCAGTTCTTGCAAGAGGTGAGCAACACCCGGGAGGATGGATGGGGCGGGAGTATCGAGAAGAGAGCAAGATTTGCGTTAGAGGTCGTGGATGCGCTTGTTAAGGAAGTTGGCGCTGAGAAGGTCAGTATCAGATTAAGTCCATGGAGTCCGTTTCAAGGTGCGTATTGTCTCTGTTCCTCATTTTATGCTGGACCAACATTTATGCAGACATGGGCCTCCCTGATCCCAAACCACAATTCTCCTACCTCGTAAACGAGCTCAGGAAGTACGACCTCGCCTATCTTCATGTCACAGAGCCACGTGTCGGTGGAACCATTGATGTGATTGCACTACCGCAGAGTAGCAACAATTTCCTGCGTGAGATATGGTGCAAGGAGGGCAAGAACAGGGTGCTTATCAGTGCGGGTGGGTACACACGACAGACCACAATCGAGACAGCACAGGAGCATGGGGACATGATAGCATTTGGCAGATTGTACATTCCGAATGTAAGTCTTCTGTCCACGTTCTATCTCCTTCGTCCATTATCTTTGCTCATGTGTGCTGACAACTTTCTCTTCCTGCGCCTGGGTCAATCTTTTGCATGCTCCATCTCTATCGCTAACTACTTTCCACGCTCTTCCAATAGCCTGACCTCCCTGCTCGACTTATACACGACCTGCCGCTTGCCAAGCCCGACCGTGCAACATTCTACCTTGATGGCGATGTCACTGAGAAGGGATACACTGATTTCCCAGCGGCAGACGTACAGGTAGAACAGAAGTCATGAATGGGATTTTTTTACGACCAACATAGTGGAGGTGAGCGTCTCTAAACAATAACCAAGATCAGGAGGAGGTTTTCACATTTTTATGAATGAGTGCATAAGCTTACACGTTAGTCTAGTACCTATACGATGAACTTGGGCTACCAAGGATGCGGTGCCACTTAGTTTCAGGCAGTTGTACCGCTATTCCGCTTCATCAAATGTAGTCCGGCTGCGGTGGGGCACTACTTTAGTTAGATCGAAGTGTGTATTGCTATCATTTCACTTCACAATGCCCCTTGAGAGACGATACCAGACAACTGAGCTGTATGAAGTTGACCGATCGTTGGACCTAGCCATTGTTGTTCTGTTCGATGCAACACGCAGCATCACGACATTATGAAACTAGAGATAGACGGTCAATTGCATCTGGAGTTGAAGAGACAGAATTCGGAGATGTACATGTTTACATCGTGCATCGTGCAAAATGATCTAGTGTAGCATTGGCAATCTTCGTGCTCGGAGGTACACACAACTACAATATCTCTAGCGTCCCAATGTCCATCGTGTCATCAATAGAAGCCATGTCCTTGACCTTGGCAATGATAAGGTGGTCCGAAGCAACTCTCTTATACTCCCCACCACGCTGTTGCGCTAGCAAAAGCGCACCAAAAGGCTGTCCAAGGCGAACAACCAACCTCAACTCTCGCAAACGAGCCTCCGAATCAGCCAGATTAGAGTCTACAAGAGAACCACGGATAGATCCGTCTGTTAGAGACACAGGCTCAGGCCAATCGTCCACACTCTGTGCGTCGTCTGCAAAATCGGGCTCCGCAAAGTCAGGCAGCTCAAGATCATGACGATTCCATGGACGGACAAGCAAAAATGTCTGTTGAGTGGGACGTGTCGGCGAGAACTGAATCAGCTTGTCTTCGGAAGTGATCAGTAGGTCTTGAAGACCATCTGCCTTGACGTCATAAGTGAAACATGTCTCCAGGTTTGGATCACGCCTCCGCCTCAGTTCAGTGATGGGAAATGCAATACACGGTAGCTGCAGTCTGGAGTGTGCGAAACGAGGTGCACTGAGGTTGTCAAGGAGGGTATACAATTTCGAAGTCGACTCCGCCGACACAGTATTTCGCAACATGGAGACAGACATGTTCATCTCATCTTCGGGCAAAGATGATAACATGCACAGTGGAGTTTTATATGATGTGATGTCAGCTGGGAGACAGCTATTGAACTCGGATGATTTTCCGATCCAGTCAAGGGGAGTGATGTCGCCTGAATGCGCAATAATCTCCTGCAAGAGTCGTCTGAGCGCGTTTTGTCTCTTCTCGCCGTAGATTACAGGGAGGTGGATGTGGAAGATGCCGAATAGTGAATATGCAATGTCTTCTTGCAAAGTCGTGACACGGCTGGATGCCCATTGAAGTTTCTCTCGGGCGCCTCTCATGTCCGGGCGGAAGGCAATGAGGGCTTGTGCATCTATGCCTGTCGAGTCCTCCAACTCCTGCATGATAGCGACAGACATCTTGTGATTGGGAGAGCGATCATCGAGATACAAGGTCCAATCTGCTCGATGAAAGAGAACGGTGTTAGGAGCGAGGAATTCCTGCACTGTCCACCCTCGTGTGTTCCAAGTACTATTTGCGAGTGCCCCAGGTTCTGACGAAGGCAGAACATCTACTAGATAGACGATTGTGAGCGCTGAGTGGCGATACCAGACGAACATGGAGTTGACCGATTCTTGGAGTTCAAAGTTGTTGCTCTGGTCGATGCAACATGTATCGCTCCACGCCCAGCGATACCCCGCGTCACGTTTGTCTTCCCGTGCTCAATCGCATATAGGGCTTCACAAATACTGATTTTCAAAAGATGGGTATGCAGACACAGACGGCTGGGATTTGATCCGACCCATGAATATTTGAATGTCCAATTGAGAACTGCTGACTTGCTTTATAATCTTGTAGGACTTTACCGGTACACGCCCCAAATGTCTGTAGCCTTATGCTGACATCGGACGAAAATTGTTTCACACACGTAAGCATGTGGTAAAAGCAAGGTTTGAACGACCGTTTATTAAGATTAGGAAAAAATGCTCAATGGTGATTGATTTACCATGTTTATGGGACCAAATTTTCTGAGGTCGGATTGAGGTCAGGCTGAGCACTATGGCCACCCTGGACAGGTGGTGGTAGTGCAGTGCGAAATACACCAAGAGTTCCTCTCGACCTCTATTTTTTTTCCCTCTCGAAAAGCACTTTTTTTTGATCCAAAAACCTCGAAACGTTCAAATGTGAACAGAGCGTTTGTCTATTTGTCTTCGTATATTAGCCTAATAGTTAGTTATTCGTACCCAGTGAAAAACCTTGCAACATCTGAATGTGAACGGAGCGCTCGTCTGTTTGTCAAAGACCGGTCCTAGATTCCTAGCAATATATCTACAATAAATGACAGATTTATTTATACAACGGTATCGTAGACCAATTTGAGAAGATGAGGCAGTGAGTAGGGAGAAACGAAACAACTTCAAACTGACATGACGATGAATGCAAACGTGGTGCGAAATGAATTAGTGGACAAGGTAAAGTATAGGGAGACACAAGGCGACTTCAAACTGACGATACAATGAATCCTAGAACATGTGAACATGATGGGAAACAAATTAGCGGACAAGGAAGCCAAGGACACCGCGAGTACATACCTATTGAATATCACTCTATATCACATGTCAATATCCATGTCATCCTGTGATGAAATGACGTCAGAAACGAATAATTGTGCTGAGAGATGCACGAACTGAGTGAGCACGCATCTCGACGTCTATGTCGTCTTGATAAATGTCCATATATTCCTGCGACAAGAGTTAGTGAGAGATTGAGCGCACAAAATGAAAAATATATACCGGTTGAGCACCGTTCTCCATTTTGCTGTCGCACACCTCCATTGCGTTTTCCCCATCGGCCTCGTCATCATCGATGATCATGTTGTTTTCCTGCAATGAAAGAATGTAAGAAACACATAGATAGATAGATATTTACATACCGGTTGAGCGTTGTTTCCTGCGACATCGACTTCACCTTCGAGAACGTCCATCAGTTTCTACAACGAACAAATGTTAACAAAATGGACTAGAGTACGCATTTTACTCACTAGGTGAGGGCCCTCCCCTTCATGTTCGTCGTAGTCAATGTCCATCGGGTCCAACAACGCAACGATCTATTCCCCTTCAGTCTTATATCGAAGTAGATACAAAAGTACTTACCGAATGCATCATTGTAACTAGTGGTTGCTATTAGAGTGTAATGTTAAGATGTTGGTCGAAGATGTTGGTTGAAGCTGTCGGTCAGTATAACTTACAGTTATGTGGCACTATTTGTTGTGACATCGTGATTGTGACGATCACCTCTGAGGTTCATCCGTCACCGCCGCAATACAGCGACTGCTATAGTGAGCTTTGGCCTTTCATCAAAACAATGTCAGCGAATAAAACTAGAATTATCATTTTGAGCAGCATGATACAAATTTCACCAGGAGGGGAGGGACTTCGGTTGATGTTCATCTTTAGCCAAGAGCCAAAAGACAGGTGCTGAAGTCTCCAGAAAACAAGAAGATATACACGCTGAATGGAAGCTCTATGAAGCTTGAGTGAGAGGTTTTGATCAGTGCGCTGCGAGTCACGTGACATGACAATGCTCAATGCGAGAGCAAAGAGATGTTTCGATAAGCTAACAAGGAGACAGCTATATGTTAAAATGAGCACAGTCAAAGTCCTTGAGTGTGAGGTATTTGAGGAGCTCGAAAGGATCCCATTGTTCATACATGCAGCAATGTACCCATGTCAATGACACCGGTGGAAGAGAGCGACGATGAAGTTATTCACGATAAAGGCGTCTAGGAATGGAATCAAGTAGATGCATGAGAGCAATAGTGCAGGTGTGCGCGACACAAACATGGCCTTGATAAAAGTCAAATATCTCTTTGGATGTTGTGTCCATACGAAGACCAGAAGCTTACCTCTGTACTGGAAGTAATGTGTCTTTGGCAGTAGATTGAACATTACATACACATGCATAGGTATGAACCTATTCAAGGCGGTGATTGTGCCAAAATACAATAGTTGACGTTGGTCGTGGTGTAACACTCGGGCTGGCGCTGGACACGTATCTGGTGATAAACATGTTTTATATTCCTCGACACACTTCCGACCTTCCGAAAGTTCTGCATGCCTGTCTGAGTCGTCTGAAGGTTGTCCGTCCATTTCCGAGGCCTTTTTTTAGCTTTTCCGATCCTCCATACCATGTCCTGTCCTTGTCCGTTTGACTTTGCTGGTGCGTTTTCCATTTGATTATCTGTTATTGATTATGTCTAGGGGCACATACATCGAAAACCCTTGCTAATATGTATGGATACGTTCCTCGTGCGTTATTACATGTATATCTTCGTAGCAGCTCGCCTTGAGTCTTATTACATTCAGATGTCTTATCTCGCTACAGTTTTCGCCTATGCAGATTCCGGACTTTCATGTCGTAGGATGTATTCTGGCTCGCTAGGTACTCGCAGGACACTTCACTTCCCTTGCTTCGAATCATAGTTAGTAGTTGTCACTTCCGGGTTTTAGTACTTCGCAATCGATCTTTGTTCATTTGGAACGATTGTTTGGCCTCACTGCTGCCATTTTACTATTGAAATCCTTAAGTCTTCTGACGGACTTCGCTAGTTACACTACGCAAAGTTCTATACTTCAATAACCACCGTACTACTTTACCAGAAAACCTTGCCGTTTCATTGGAAGCTTTGCACAACCTCGGACCTTCGTTTCTAGATGTCGGACCTATACTGGACGCTTCAGACAATTCATTGGATACTTTGGACTATTCTTCTGATCTCTGAACATACTAGAGGTATACCTCTCTTCTCTCACCTTCGATCTTAACAAGATATCCCTTGCATTTTATATCAAGAGATAATCCTACAGGCAGTCCCTTGGGACGAACATCTCACTCGCACTTTGGAGTCTTAAGGTAACACCCTTAGTATAAGCCCACTAGGAATCAACTCTTTACAGCAGTATTACTCGTGCAAAGTGTTATTAAAAGCAAATTAAAAGTCACTGGTGCCAAATGCTCACTGCTCACGTGCCATTGACCAAGAATTCAACTGCCTCTGGCCCTCCACAACTTCACCAATCGATTCAATTATGGTCTCTCAAATTTCCATAAACTCATTCTATGTTGAGAGGTATTCTTCTGACTTTTATCAAGTCCCCAATACAATTTCCCTGGGGGCCCTGCGCATGAACATCCAGCAATGTATCAAGCAGAAATTTCAGCGCGAATGGTATGAAGACCAAGTCCACTCTGATCCTACATCAATTATCTTATCTTCAAGTAAACTCTGTTATTCTATTGACGTGGTTGTTCATTTACATTATTCCCAGACACACATGGCTCCACCTTACTAGACAACAATGCTACAATCCTTGGCGATCTATGTGGACTGATGGACCACATACATGCAATTGTTCCTTCACAACAGCTTGACAGTTCCAATGCTCCCTCGCAGCATGTGGCATTGACGCCCGATAGCATGAGCAGTCCTGACTACAACAGGACTCAGGAGCTGCTATTGCTAATATGTACACTCGATCAGAATTTGGTAGAAGTGAGGCGAGCACAAGAGGAGGATAAGCGGGCACAATCAGCGCAGGATGATGAACTCACCACATTAAAGGCATCAATGGATGCTATCATTAAAAACCAGCAACAAGTATCTGAAGATATGAGGGTATGGAACCGCGACCATGCAGATGACATCCGTCAGCAGAAGATGATACAGCAAAACTTGAAGGACAACCAGGAGCATCTAAGCCACCTTCAGGAAGCTCATGCCCACAATGAGCAAGTTCGGATCTACAGCGACCAACAGATCAAAATATTGGAGGATGGACGACGGGAGGATGGTATCCGTATCAGAACACTGGAAAATTCCCTTGCTGTGGAAGGGACACGGATCAAACAGTTGGAGAGTTCGATCGAAAACTCAAAGAAACAGTGTGAGGTACAGATGAAGGTGATACATGAGGAGGCAGAGGTGAAGTTGAAGGACGTAGAAGCAAAGTGCAAGGACGTGGAGGCGATGAATGAGGCAGGGAAGAGGCTGTGGGAGGTAGAGAAGAAGGCATGGGAGGTGGAGAGGTCGTCAATGGCTGATCAGATTGAAGAGGTTGAGGATATGACCATTGCAACCATTGGTTGGGTTTGTGGCGCGGTACGTCTTCAATCACTCGATCATAATAACAACAACAAATTAGCATTCAATCAGGACACCAAACTAATCGATTGCATCCTACTCTGGCATCTCCTCGACCTTACTCAAGCCAAACTTGCCAAACTTGTACGATTGAGTGCGCCTCCAGGCACCAACCGTGCTACACAATCAATCTTGTGGCGAGATGCACTTGGAACTACCCATGTATTTGCAGAACACTTGCAAACAGCGCAGTGACTTTTAAACAGAACAGACACCCAGCTCGACAGTGCTACTGTTCAATTCATGGCTGATGCAAAAGGGATGGATCTCGCCATCCAAAAATCATCTGCAATTCAAGAAACAGGTGACCTTGTGGCCCACCCGAAGCCAGGAGCCATTTGTCAAGAAGCATTCATACAAAGCATTTCACGCCACAATGTTACTGAGGAGCGTCCAGGTCTTTTAGTGATGGTTAAATTTGTTATGATTGGCACAGTTCGCTTATAGGTACGACTATGAACTATGATGGTGTACAACATATGGTATTTTAATTGATAGCTACGTAAATCTTGAATGTTGTATGTAGAATTTTGTCACTTCGTTCAAAAAGGAGTTCAAAAATGAAGATTGACAAGAAACGGTTCGTCCCTCACTGGCTGCAATTATGCAATTTCACAATTTGTTCATGAACCCAAGGACTTCTCAATTCACTGATCAACTTTTACTGGCAGCTGCAAGCACTTTCATCAATTCTTTGGAGATTTTATGTTACAATGTTTTTATGTGTCATAGCTCTCCACACCAACCACGTTCATCCTCGTCTTCCCATGACACAATCTCTCCCTTGTATTGTGGGTCTGGGAAGCTCCTGTGGAATTCACCCATAGCCAGACTTTCTGCATGGTCGAGCATTTATGTCGTTCAACTTGTGAGCTGTTTCTCCCTCTGAAACTTATGCTGGTGTTATGAGCTAGTCCCAGGCCATTTTGCCCCCACACACTGGCAGGAGACTATTATATATCAGTCGACCGTGGCGATTAATTTAATCTGCTGATAGTAATTGTGATTATGAGTTCCGCCCTGGAAATACGAAATCAGCCAACAGGAATGCAGCATAGAAGACTGCCGCATGGTTAACACATGGAGTCGTCATTATGAGTGCAGGCTGACACATTGGTTCGGCACCCACACATGCCTGGCACTGGTTGACTTTTTCTTTACTCTCCTACTCAGAGCTGAAGCAATGCCTAGGTCTTCAGGTTCATCAATATCTCGACTAGATCCTGAAGGTAACAGATTACTCCAGCTGCCTTTCTTCGATATTTAATTGTTTTATCTTGCAGTTTATGTGCAAATCAAAGGCAGAAATGAAGTTGCCTGCAAAGTGTGTACAAAGCGGAACAAGAGCCTTCTTACTATGAGAATATGCCATGTTAGTGGTCATGACCGAAGCAAAAACATCAGCGGGCAGTTACCTGTGCTTTGGTGCGTGTGGAAGCAGGAAGTCCTCATGCATCTAAGCCCTCTGCCCTGGAAACTGATGTTGACATGCTTGACCCGCCAACCCTATTTTCCCTGCTAGACTCAGATAGCACTGCTCCCCTTGAAAACTCAGCTTTTTCACCAGAGAGAACATTACAGGAGCCACTGAAGATGATCATCTTGAAGGAGCCCCTTCAGTGACAAATTCCGTATTATACGGGCCACCTGACCTCCATAATATCCTGTATGAGACGGGCCAGCTGATCATGGGCCCATGTTGTGTATATTCTCGATGATGACGGATGGGCCGGGACACATATTATTTCCAATCAAGACAGGTGGGCCCATGTATGCCAATGATATATATATCCTTAATGTTGACGGATGGGCCGGGGGAATATGATCATTCATGGAGATGGGTGGCCCATCTGGGTAATATGTAGAGTAGGATATTATAGACAGCTGGGCTGAAGAGAGATGTAAGGAAAATATTGTTATATAGATGGGCAGGCCGACGTGGGTGTATTACATATATGGGTGGGCCGAGGTAGGGGAATATTACATAGATGGGTGGGCTGACGTAGGGTGTATTACATATACAGGTGGGCTGATGTGGAATGTATTACATATACGGATGGGCCGATGAAAGGGATATCAAATAGACCTGTGGGCCGAGGGTGCGATAAAATATTTATTACATAGACAGGTGGGCCAAGGTGGGGTATAATTATATAGACGGGTGGGCCGACGTAGGATGTATTATATAGACGGGTGGGCCAACATGGGATGTATTACATAGACGGGTGGGCCGACGTGGAGGATAATACATAGATGGGTGAGCCTAGATATGTTCCATCAAGACATACAGCTGATGTAGCCACCAGCGAATCAAACACGTAGGATACATGTACACTATGAGTGCATATACCTACCATCGACCACCAAATCTAAACCCCTAAGCACAAAAACATGAATCGACCATGTGTGGCATTGACCAATAATCCAGGACTGAAGTGGAAAAACCCCACACCTGAACCCTGGTGTGCAACAAATCCTATTTCTAAGCATGGACACCAGAAGCACAACACTCACAAAAATATATATGTCAAATTTTCAGTGCCAAACCCCAAACTGAGATGTACCAACCCCCGAACCCTGAAACCCGAGAGTGCCAGGTCTCAGGTATCGGGTGTCCGGAACTCGGAACTCGGAGAAATTTGAGGAGATCAATACAATTTAATTTACAATCGAGTTGATTGACAACACATTGACTTACCCATGTTTGCAATATATTTTTGTTTAGACATACCGAGTTCTGAGTTCCGGACACCTGAACCCCGAAACCTGAGACTGCCGGGTCTCAGGTATCGAATGTCCGGAACTTGGAACTTGGGAAAATTTGGGGAGATCAATACAATTTGATTTACAATCAAGTTGATTGACAAACACATTGACTTACCTATGTTTGCAATATATATATTTGTTTAGACATACCGAGTTCCGAGTTCCGGACACCCGAACCCCGAAACCCAAGACTGCCGGGTCTCGGGTATCGGGTGTCCGGAACTCGGAACTCGGTAAGTCTAAACAAAAATATATTGCAAACATAGGTAAGTCAATGTGTTTGTCAATCAACTTGATTGTAAATCAAATTGTATTGATCTCCCCAAATTTCCAAGTTCCGGACACCCGAACCCCGAAACCCAAGACTGCCAGGTCTCGGGTATCGGGTGTCCGGAACTCAGAACTCGGTAAGTCTAAACAAAAATATATTGCAAACATAGGTAAGTCAATGTGTTTGTCAATCAACTTGATTGTAAATCAAATTGTATTGATCTCCCCAAATTTTCCCAAGTTCCGAGTTCCGGACACCCGATACCTGGCAGTCTCAGGTTTCGGGGTTTGGGGGTTGGTACATCTCGGTTTGGGGTTTGGGTGTTAGTACAATGTTTACAAATATACATAAGTTGATTTAAACATGTCTGGAAGATGTCATTCATCTAAAATGTCAAATCCTGAGTTCCAGGTGTTGAGACTCGGTACCTGGCACCCAGGACTTGGGGTTCGGCACTGATAATTTGACATTCAGGTGTTCGGGTTTCGGGTGATATCTATCTCAATCTGCAGTTTCGAGTTCTGGATATCGGGAGTGATCATTGAATGATTCAATTGTGGCATAGGTAACATGCATGGAAAAACATTCATGTACATCTACATATCACTGAGCAATTATGTAGCCATGTCAACCTCCTCACCAGGAAGATCAACCTTTCCCTCAACATCCATCTCCTCATCAGAAGAATCATATTCTGGCAGGAGGTTACCTGGTTCATCAGGGACCACAATATTGCTGGGGAATTCTGGCAGGAGGTTGCCTGGTTCATCAGGGAGAACAATTTTGCCGGAGGATTGTGGACCCTCAGGCTGAACTTGGGTGGGCTCAACCATGGGACCTACCATAGCAGATCCATGCTCAGGCGTCAAGGGTGTAGGTTCCATGACTGAAAAGTCCAAATCAATGAGGTTGGAAAGTGCAGAGGGGAGGGGTGACATGGATGGGGGGGACCTCCTTGATCAAGCAACATTAATCCATCGGCCGGTGTGTCCGGAAGTGAAAATGAAGGGTGCCGGTCGACCACTGTGCGCCAGAGGCTCTCATGGAGGCATTGCAGGGTATCAATCTTAACATCCTGCTCCTGCACCCGAGCCTCAAGAATAGCGATGCGAGCTGCACCATCCCGAATCGCGATTGCCATGGAATGGAGATCTGGCATGGGAACATTGAGTGCTGCACGAGGCACTGCGACGCTGGAAGACCTGACTGCTAAGTAAAAAATTAGGTCAGCCGGTCATTAAAAGTATGGGTGACTTACCAGCTGGCGCAGGTGCAGGGACAGGTGCAGGTGCAGGTGCAGGTGTCTTCTTGGTAGTGATGGTCTTGCTGCGACCATGTGACTGCACCTGGGGCGTAGTTGCAGCAGGGATGGCTGGAGTTCGGGATGGGCCATGAGATTGACTACGAGTTCGGGCCCTTGACCGGGAGGGAGATGGAGCATTGGATGGAGCAGGGGCAGGTGTCTTGGAACACGTCCGGCTGGTGGTAGACTTCCCTCAGGTCCGTTTGGGCAGGGATCCCAGAGATGCAGGGTTGCATTTGATCTTCTTGGTGGAGCAGCAGATGCAAGACAAGCAGGGGAGGCTGGACCTCTTGTCCAATCGAGTCACACAGGGCCAATTTTCCTTGACACAATAATGGCAGGGGTTGTTCTGTGGTATCTGTTAGTAGATGGACGAAGGGAAATTTATGTGAGTACTCACTGGGCTGGTGTAGAGACTCATGCCTCTCATGGTGTGATATGGTGTGTTACACTAGGAGTACATAGCACAAACTTGCAGCATCACTCTGTGTGCTATCCACAGATATTCCACTATGAGGCGCAGCTTTCCCGCGCTTCACGATGTATGCGTGCGCGCGTGCGTTCCTGCGCTTGAGCGCCCTATAGCGCCAGCCATCCAGATGCATCCATCCACTGTCCACCATGTTCTCTAGTGCGTATATTTCTATTTCTCTCATCTGCATATTGTTCCATCTTTATTTTTATCATGGACTCTCACCCATATATATGTATCTTACATACCTACTCGGTAGCACTTCGGCTCCGCATGACCGCGCTTAGGCGCGCTATATAAGCGCCAGCAGTACATAGTACTACTCACTTTACATTTTTACCACTTACTTTAGACTTACTTTTCACTTACTTTCCCTTTAACTTACTAGTTACCACCCACCATTTTACTTAGCAGAACATAGTAGAAGTCTATTTGTCTACACTTCACATCTCTCTTCTCTTATATTGCATCATATTAGCACTTGAGTCTAACTTCTCTATTATTTCTGCATACACGCGCGCGCTTTCCCGCGCTTCGCACTAATACGCGTGTGTGTTCCCGCGCCTTGCGCGCACCTGCGCTTTCTCGCGCTTCACTTCAGCGCATACCTCTAGATCTTCGCTGCACTCGCTTCC